TGTAGTTCGGGGTGGGTGAGTTTTTGTGTATCACATTGTTACCGTGTGTCAGGGTTTAAGGTATTTATCTTATGCTTTTCCGGTCGCTTGACTGATGGTTTTGTTAAATCTGGTTGTTTTTTTACAGGTTTCTGCTACGATGCCCATCCATATCACTTACCAGCTGTTAAAAGCTTTTTTTCTTTCTATATTTTTATGAGCTTTTTGCTATATATAAAGCCTTTGTTTTTTTTAATGAACCACTTTAAGAAATAGTTTATTTTTATTATTCAGTTCTAAATCATTTTACTAATACTAAGGGATAGACTCTTTGTAATATTCTATGTCACTGTACTAATCTAAGGAGCAGCACATTTATAGTATGCATTTCTAACATCATCATCACTATCATCATCATGTGTCACCCTTTCATTTAAGGTTAGTTGAAATGAGTCCTAGTTGTAATGGGTCCCCAGCACCTTTTGCCCTGTATAATTAGTGCACTCAAACACCTTACAGTCCGTCTCTTGATATTGTCTGTATACATGTTTTCCTCAATACACACTTACCCTCCACTTTTCACCCTAGATACCTGGTCTACATACGTTTGATGTATTGTCTGATTCCCATATTGTCAGTATTGCTTTAATCCAAGTAATTTTACTGATACCAGTATCAACCCTTTCGTCCCAGTGACCTAGAAAAAAAAATTATGCCAAAGACTTGTATTTCTTTAATTTTGCGTTCTCCTAAATAAAAATATTCCTTAAAAAAATTGGTCACAACAACAGCAAAAAAAAATCATAATTCTATTTATGGACCAAAACAGTGTTAATTTTCATGCACAATAATGGGATTAATCAAGAACCACAAATGATGCAGTGACTTGAGTGGGTTACATCTCTCTGCGCTTTGAAAAAAATGTTTAGCCTGATTCGTTATTGACCCAAACCCAGGCACCAGTTGGAACTGTAAACTAATGGTAAATTCTAATGTCGTAATTTCTTTAAGTAATGCTATTTTCCACAAGGAAACCCCATCTAAATGCTACTTTTAACAGCTGTGCTAATTACCGGTCATTCTAAAAAAAAAAAAAGATTGCCCAGGAGAAAAAAGGAACCAATGCTGTTAGCAGGGCTTTTCTTAAACCAGCCTTTATAGCAGCGGATCTCAACCTGTGGGTCATGACCCCTTTTGGAATCTAAGGAGTGTTTCACAGCGGTAGCCTAAGACCATCGTAAAAGACATGTTCACTGAAGTTATGAAGTAGCAATGAAAATAATTGCGGATGGGGGTCACCACAACATGAGGAACTGTATTAAAGGGTTGTGGCATTAGGAAGGTTGAAAACTACTACTGTATAGCAACCTGAGAACATTTACAGGGCTGTTGCACAAATCAGAAGTATCGGGTTTTGTGCTTCTTGGAGCGTGAGGGTTAAGTCACTGACCTTAGGCTTAGATGGCTGTTTTGTTGGTACCTCTCCAGCTTTCCAGATGATAGTGTTCACTTATGCTGTAGGGAGGCCTGAGAATCGCAGCCTGTAATGATGAGGAGTGTGACTAGAAGTCTAGCAGTAGCACATCCCCTCCGTAGCACAGTATGTGGGCAGTATTTTAGAGACTATGTGATGTCCATGAAGTGTGATCACTTTAAGCCTGCTTTTTTAAACTCCAGAGGTTTGAGGTTTGAACAACGGATCAACATCATGGCACACGAGTAGTAACCCGTAAGTGCTCCGTTCCTCTTCTAACTCCGGTGTGAGTCTGAAGAAGCTCAGCACAGTGCACAGGCTCTGTAGCACCGGTGGTAAACTCCAGAGGCAAGACTAATAATGAAATGTTTAGAACAAAGCATGATGAATAAACTGACGGAACAGAAGCTAAGAGCTCTGCCTATCCTGTGAAGGAAGGTAGTGAGTTTTATTTAAGATACTATCCATTTGGGATAGAGAGTCGGTGTTTTGATGATCCCTGGGGTTCATCAATAGTACTACATGATTGTTTGACACTTGGCAGATGAACAACTTTTGTATAAAGACGGACAGTTTTGTATACAGCCTATTGCATCAAGCCACTGTGCTATTTTGACTTCCATGTGAAACGTGACCAGTATCATATGCCAGTTTAATTAGTATAACATGCTTCTTGTATCTTCATTTTGATTTCATGAAGAAATAAATGTATATGGTTATGTTAATTTAAAAAAAATCTCTTTATTCTGTGTCATAAAAACTAATCTTTGTGTTTATTGTTGAACTAATTAGCGTGTATGTATATATGTATATGTGTATGTGTATGTTTGAATATATATATATATATATATATATATATATATATATATATATATATATATATATATATATATATATATATATATATATATATATCTGTCTCTGTGTACATGGCAAATCTCAAATTTCCTCATCAGTTTATAATGCGCTTGGACCAGGTACACATGCGTGCACACATACACGCACACACGGAAACAAGAGACAAAGAGAGTGACAAAGACAATCAGATAGGTAGACACACAGATGCACTCATTAATTTATTGATGGACATTGGCGCGCATTTACACATAAATACACACATACTCACACACACACACGTACACACACACACACACATAGAACTACATACATGCCCACCAACAGACTGACAGACACACTGAATTACACATGACACAGAGAGACACACATAGACATGCATATACAGACAGACACGCCCACCAAGAGACAGATCCACTGGCACGCGCGCGCGCGCGCACACACTAACACAAACCACATGCGCGCACACACACACACACCCACCCACCCACCACTACCACCACCATCATCATCATCATCTTCTTGTTGATTGGCTGGATAATTTCATACTGCTTCTTTATATCTTGTGACCTATGACAGCTGTATATATAAATATCTTTGTGTGTGAGTATCATCAAAAGCCTTGCAGATTGCCTTTTATGATCGATTTTTTTCCACATTTCATTGTCTCCCTTGACATGTTGATTGTCTTTTGAATTTGTGAACGAATATGCTTTAAATTGTAATATTATTTATAAACCAAATGGATTAGCACAGTTGATAGTAATGTTGCTTGCCTGTTTGGTACTTTATAGATCAGTCTCCAGTTTTGCAAGATTCAGTTGTTTTAATATTAGTACAGTCCAGGATTCAAACCTCTTGATACAATTGTTGTTATTGATAGCACATTTATGTTCTGTTGGGTGACAGATGTGTATTTAATAAGAATCATGAGAAACTATCAGTCAAATAAGTAGAACTATTCCACTTTACACAATCACCTCTTGAATGACAAAATGAAAGTCGTGGCTAGAAAGACTTCATCAGCATATGATACAAGTAAACAGTGATAACAGTTCCACACATGAATACATAAAATCACATATCTTTATGGCAGGTCTGATGTAAAATTTATATAACACATTTACACACTAGCAGCTCTGTGTCACATGTCTTGCAAGAGTACGATGCTGGACAGGAAGTGGTCCAGACAGGAAGGGTTGGTAGGCATATTAGGAGTTGCGACAGGGGATGTCTTAAATTTATGTTTAAGTAGGTGTGATGGGTCTGTGTGTGATTTTTGTTCACATGAAATGTAACATCATTGCATGTTTGTATTTTTGCAGCTAACACATTTGAGAATCTCTCTGTATTGTCTGCTATGCAGGTCCTGTTATGACATGAATTAATTTCTAAAATTAGACTAAAGAGGATGCAAACAATAGAAAAGGTTATGCAAGTTTATTACCTGTCATATTTCTCTTTGGGGAGCTGCGGTAGCCTAATGGCTAGATGCTGACCTGTGACCTAAAGGTCCTGGGTTTGAACCACACTTGGCTCATTTAATTTAAAAAAAATGACTTTAGCTCCTAGGCTGATGCAGTCAGAAGTGGGTACCTCTTAGCGTCCTGGGAAATAAAGGCAGTGAGCCCATTGAAGGCCGACTGGTCTACAAAAATATGAATATGGCATCCTATGCCACATTAACGTGAAAAGGGTTCATTTTACTGTTTAACTTTATGCATTGCTTGGATAAGGAGAACTCACCGGGAATCCAAGAAATGGTTCTTCATATCATAATTTCCTTTTATTCAGATAAGAGTTCAAGCTAGAAAACAATTGCCTGGGATAAACAAATTGTACTTCACAACTGAGACAGTTTGAAGCAGTCTGCACTGTATCTTGTTAGATGTATTGTACATGCCACATGCATGTACCCTCAAATATAACACTTAACCCTCTCCAGCTAGAGAGTTGATCATCTCCAGCTGTTTTCCAGTTTCTGAGAACAGTTTATTTATTTTGTTTTCAGATATTATTATTATTATTACAACACTTTAACACTATTTCAGCAAATAAGTAATTAAACTGAAGGAGTATACGGAATAAGAGTGATATAATATTATGAAGAGTGCAGTCCATCCATTCTTTTGTATGCTTGATCATTTAAAAATTCAGTAGCTGGGGAACCAACATTTCTTGTACATATGACTATTTTCTGGTCTGAGTCAAAAGATCTTCCTATTCTCTTGGTAAAGGATTAATACATTTGGAAAAGCTTTACCTTGTCTAACAATGGATAGTTATTTTGTGAAGATCACTCAAACACCTTCTCCGTCCTCTTCTCATAGTAAAAGATTGACACATTTGGAAAGGCTTTACCTTGTCTAACAATGGATAGTTATTTTGTGAAGATCAATCTAATACCTTCTCCATCCTCTTCACATAGTAAAGGATTGATACATTTGGAAAGGATTTATCTTGTCTTACAAATGACGGTTATTTTGTGAAGATTGAAGATTACTGTAACCTCTTCTCCTTCCTCTTCTCGTAGTAAAAGATTGAAACATTCGTAAAAGCTTAACTTTGTCTAATTTGTGAAGATCCCTGTAACACCCTCTGCTTCCTCTTCTCCTGGTTGACACAGTCTGTTATCACATGGCACTTAATGAATTAATTTGTATTTCATCAGGCACATCGTAACCTGGCCATCATGAACATCGGAGCTCCTGCTTGTGGCATGAATGCTGCCATTCGGTCATTTGTGAGAATTAGCCTGACCAAAGGTTTCAGAGTTCTGGGCATCCATGACAGCTTTGATGGTCTCATCAGAGGCGAGGTTTACCCTATGACCTGGACCCAAGTGCAAGGATGGGCTGGATCTGGTGGATCTTTACTGGGCACCAAAAAGTAAGCATCACTGTGTTGGTCTCATATGAAAGGGGAATCTGAGCACCTACGGGTATGTACAGAGTGCCTTCAAGATAACTCAACTCATAACTAATACAGGAAATGGATGAAACAAAACTGATTTTCCTGAGAATAGTAAATTTAAATCTATTTTATTAATTTTTGTAATGTTGGCACTGTTCCTTCTTTCTAGATGATGTTGTTCCATTGTGCAGTAGAACGCCATGAAGATCACAACATGTGGTTATACCAGTTGAGCTTCTTCAGACTCATACTTGAGGTAGAAGAACGGAGCACTTATAGGTTACTACCCATGTGCCATGATGTTGATCCGTTGTTCAAACTTCAAATACTAGTTAACATAACGCTTGACCCGTTAGGATAATGGAGATGTATCGATGGAAGCACTAGCACATAAAACCTGCCATCTTTCTCTGTCTTCTGCTTGATGAATAAGTGTGTGATAGCTTAGTCCTATTGCCTGATGTTATAATTCCAGGTCTTCTTTGCCCTTCTCTTCTTTGACTACCCTCCAATTTTTTTTTTTTTTCATCGAACACCGGCTGTGAATTCCAGTGGAAGGTCAGGTAATCGTCCGCTTGGACTTTTGGCTTTCACCTGGGCCTGATTTTTGCGTGTACAACCGTTTTTTATTTCCCTGCCTCATGGGCAGCTGTACGCCGACTTCGAAGGAAGACGTCAGGCCTATTTCTAGGGTGACTGTGGCCATTGTTTTGTGTGGGTCGAGACGTTGCCTGATTTGTGTGGTGTCCACTTCGTCTCCTTTGCCGCAGGTATTGCCCCCGGAATACCCCTTTGGGTCAGCCCCCTGTGGAACAGTTAGCCCTCAAGGGAAGGCAGGGGCAGATCTTGGGCATTCCCCGCCATTCAAGGAGGCATCCATGTATGCAGAGCCGACACATGGCGCTCTGGTTCTGGGCTCACCCAAGGAATCGTCACGTCCTGCACAAGCCTGCTTAACCTCACAACCGTATCAGGCTTCCCGCTCGACAGGGGCTGCGCCCTCTGGGGGTCAGCGGGGAGCAGCCCGCGGGTTTTGGACTTTTGTAACCACACAGATAGGTACATTCTTTTTTCTTCGCACGTTAGATTTCTTTGACGAGCCGTTAGCCCGACAGATTTTACATCCTGCATCAGGCATATCGTTATCAGTTTTGTCCCAACACTCGGGCGAGTGGTGTCCTTGGGTGTGGACATTCGGTCTTTTTCAGTTCAATTCTAATTTTGAGGTCAGATTTTGATCAGTATGATCTAGTTTTGTCGGAAATTTAGGCTTAGCCATCCGATCGATGGATGGTTGCTGTTGTGGTGTACCACAGCGCGGTGACGACGACACTGAGGGTTTACCAAGGACATGAATGGCCAGCCTATGGATGGTTGCTGTTGTGGTGTACCCCAGCGCGGTGACGACGACACTGAGGGTTAACCAAGGATGTACATGAATGGCCAGCCTATGGATGGTTGCTGTTGTGGTGTACCCCAGCGCGGTGACGACGACACTGAGGGTTAACCAAGGATGTACATGAATGGCCAGCCTATGGATGGTTGCTGTTGTGGTGTACCCCAGTGCGGTGGCGACGACACTGAGGGTTAACAGAGGATGTGCAGTAAACAATGTTCTCTTTATTCCGCCGTCTTTTAACAAGGGTTGTAATTTCTGGCCAAACGTTTGGAAGAGCCTGCTCATGTTCCTAATGAGTTGTGATAACAATTTTTTTCACCCAAGCGTTTGGGGGCGGGCTGATGAGAGCCACCCTGGGGGCCGCCAAACTCCGAGATCCCCTGGCAGCTCTGTTAATGCTCATTTTGAGACATTATCCGTGGCGCAAAGGACGAGGACGTGCTGCCGGGGTCTTGCGTGAGGTTCCGTACAACCAGGATATTAAAGGACTGGCGCCCGAGTGACGTACGGAGTATCTCCTTATACACACCATGTTGGACTTAACTTCCCCTCACGCCTGTGACATAAATCACCGCGCCACTACCCTCCAATGTTCCTTGAGTCTTTGCAACAAATCATGTCCCACCAAGTGCCCGAACCAAGCTAGCTTGCGACATTTCACCACTGCCAAGAGAGGCTCCTGGTGTCCTGCAAATTTGTATATTTTGTCTCTGACGTATTTGTTAGTTTTGTGTTCTATATAACTAATTCGTAAAATACCATAAGACTATTTAAGGCCAAGATGAAGTTCCTTCTCTCTACAGCACAAAGCCTGGGCAGTATTGTTGAGACCATATGTTGCCCATGCAGCATGTTGCCCTTACTCAGCTTGCTTGGTTAACTCCAAGTGAAAAGCTAACACCAGTACATTTAGAATAAAGCATGCCGGATAATCTGCCAAATTAGAAGAGCAGTGCTCTGTCCACCTGTCTGAGCTTCCCTCCTAGACCAGGTGCCAACCAAGGATAAGGCTGTTTTTTAGTTACAGAAGATTGAAACACAAACTTGGCTGGTCGTGGAAAAGAAAATGTGTATAATAATTTCAGGCATTGTGCTCAAGATGCTGGCATTGGCAAGATTGCTTTGAAATTCACAGAATTTAAAATCGATGGACTCATGATTGTTGGAGGCTTTGAGGTGAGTGTTAGCTAGCCATTGTCCTTCTTCATGGTCTGCCTGAAAAAAAACTCTTTCTTTTGCCAGCTCTCCCGCCTTGTTTACTTTTATATTCAAGGAGACACTTTTACCCTGTGCCCATCTTCATGTTGGTCGGCCTCTGCCCCTCCCTCCAGGTACCATGCCTTCTGCTATTATATTTTCCAATCCCCCATGGCGCTTGATATGACCAAAATATTTCAGCTTCCAAGACAATTTGCTATTTATAAACCAATCTTCCTTGATGTTTAGAGCATTTAAAATGTCAGTATTGCTTCTCTTCTGTGCCCATGGTATTCTGAGAATCTTTCTGTAGTATTTCAACTCAGAAGCCCATATTTTCTTTCCTAAGGACTGGGAGATAGTCCGCGACTCATTTTTGGATGTTGCTACAGGGAAGATGCATGGTCTCAACATTTTAATTGTCGATTTCCTTGCTGGTGCTTAACTGTAGACTTTTTATGCTACTTAATCTTTGCATGGCTAAGGCTTGCCTCCTTTTGATTTTTCTCAGTCTCCATTGCTTGAGCCTAAATAGTCAAAGTTTGTTACATTTTTAATTTCTTCATCATTTATTGTTATTTTTGGGCAACAGCCAGTTTTGTCTGTGGACATTATTTTAGTTTTCTTTAAATTCAAGAATAGGTTTTGGTCTTCACTGTGTTTTTAGAAGTCATGATAAATTTTTTTGTCCCTTTACATTGTTTGAAAGGAGGACTATGTCATCTGCATAGCGAAGTTCTGGAATAGGGTTGCCATCCATTGTGAGCGGTTCATAACTGTCACAAGTCTGATCATTTTGCTTCAACGTTTGTATTTTATTGTTTTATTTTTACACTTTGTGCAACATTTAACTCATTCATACCATCACCTCACAGTATTTTAGATAACAAATGTCATTTAAACATTTACCAACTTGCTCTCATCCCGTTCTTGCATTGTCAGATGTATCACAGTTTTTACTTAATTCTATTCTGTTATAATTGTTTATTTGAAGTATTTAGACCTTTTTTTTTTAAATTTACTGTAAAAACTGCTTTATAAATAAAAAGTTGAAGTAACAGCTGTTTGGGACCGAAAAAAAAAAGAACTTAATAGCCTGTATTTTAAAGTTTAAAGCAAAATTACAAATCTAATATCATTCTTGTTTTCAGGCTTTCCTCAGTGCTTACCAGTTGGAAGAGGCCCGAGAGAATTTCCCTTCCCTGTGTATCCCCATTGTTGCCATTCCCTGCACCATTAGCAACAATGTGCCAGGTTCTGACTTCTCGCTGGGAGCTGACACAGCTCTGAATGAAATCACAGATGTACGTTGTCTAGCTTGATGGTTTTTTCTTTCTTTTTTTCCCTGTGTTTTATTCAAAAACCAAGTGTCTTTGTTTATAGTTTGATACAGGATTGGCAGGTCAGTTTCACCCTTTTTCAAATGAATCTCTTTTTTTTCCCCTCGTGTTTTGAGAACAATATTAAAGCCTAACCTGCACAGTCTGTGGCGACAGCACTAACCATGCAGCCCTAAATCCTCGGGCTCAGAGACACTTCCCTATACCTCACACACAACAGTGGTAAATGTGTACAGTTATGGCAGTGTTTTGGCAATATTTAAGTTAGGCTGATTGGTGGTTACCTATGACAGGGGCAGTGGTTGATTAATACATATGTCAGTTACATTGTTTGGTGGTTATCTGTGACGGGCGGTGGTTGATTAATACATATGTTAGTTACGTTGTTTGGTGGTTACCTGTGACAGGGGCGCTGGTTGATTATTACATATGTTAGTTACGTTGATTGGTGGTTGCCTGTGACAGGGGCGGTGGTTGATTAATACGTAAGTTAGTTGCGTTGTTTGGTGGTTACCTGTGACAGGGGCGGTGGTTGATTAATACATATGTTACGCTGATTGGTGGTTACCTGTGACATGGGCGGTGGTTGATTAATACATATGTTAGTTACGCTGTTTGGTGGTTACCTGTGATAGGGGCGGTGGTTGATTAATGCAAATGTTAGTTACGCTGAATATGACCTATTTTCTGTATATTCTTCCGTTATCCTGTCACCTTTACTGTTAATTTAATTTAAGTACCTGATGTTGAACAATCATGAGTTTCAGTATTGTTCTCATTCAGATCTGTGATCGGATCAAACAGTCCGCCACCGGCACCAAGCGACGTGTATTTGTAGCTGAGACTATGGGAGGTTACTGTGGCTACCTAGCCACCTTAGCCGGACTTGCCAGTGGTGCAGATGCTGCTTATATCTTTGAGGAAAAGTTCACTGTTACAGACCTCAAGGTCAGGCTTTTGATTCATTGCATGGTCATTGTTACAATTGTTGCCTGTGATATTTGGAATATTTTAACTCTTTCAGGCCTAAGTAACGCATCTTACATTCAAAAGTTTCTACCTAGAAGCCCATTGAACGCAAGACGCTTTGATTTTATGTCTCTTTTTACTACCCATTGGGTCTTTGATGCTACACCCCCCGGCACTGAAAGAGTTAGTGAACTCTGTTGGACATTTATTTTCGCAGTTTGATGAATCTTTCTTGTTTAGTATTTTAATATCCTAAATGCTGTTGGCTCATATTTTCTTGTTTTGTTTTTGTTTTGTTTACTAATTTACTTGACATGTTCATCCTAACATTGCTAATGGATATCTTTGCAAGACAGTATTTTGAATGCCCATTGTACTTCTACCAACACAGATTTTGTTTGAATTTTCCATTTTTTGTTTTTGTTTTTACATGACTTGCTTGTAGAACTATTATGAAATATAGTATAGTGGGTGTTATGATTTTATTTTTTGGTAATTTTTAAATATTGTATTTATGAGCTGCAGTTATGGTGTAGTTATGATGACTAATAAATTTATTTTCTGACACAGTGATCTGGGGTTCAAATCCTACTCAAACAGTTCCAGAATAAACCCAGTTCATGCATGCAGTCTTTATTTTCTACCTTTCATCTCCCAGCGGAGCATAAACCAGCAACCAACTCTAGAACAGACTGATCTAAACTTATTCATTTTTGTATTGGATTGTGCAGCAAATTTTTTTTTGGGGGGGGGGGGGGGGGGGGGTTACAGAATGAAGCAAGTTATTGCACACCAACATATCCTAGTTTTTTTCTCTGGTGGCGTGGTATAGTAGATTAGAACCATTCTTTACTTCCTTTGTGGTACAGGCAGTTCTTTGTTTCTAGCAGTAGTTACTTCCAGTACTTTTTCCTAGACATTTTATTTAGTCCCATTGAAATGGACGCTTTGTGGTGAGTACTGGCACTTTTGTTTCTAGAGGGAAAAAAAAAGCTCTGGGCACAGGTATGCATCAAGCACAAAGAACTCACTAATTTTGGAGGGTATCTTCCTTGTTTGGGTTCTCGGAACTCATTTTGATTGAAAATAATAGATCCACCCCTAACAAGCACACCATAAAAGACAACTAAAATAAGACATCTAATTAAGAATTTGCTGAAATGGAATGTATTAAGATGCAGATATCACAGCCTTGCTGTAAACAACAACACAGCAAACCTTTTAAAGACTGAATGCAGAAGAAGAAAGAAGAGGTAATTTGGTTGGCATAATGTTGACCACAGCACCAGTTTGATCTAGAAAAGACCTAATGTTTACAAGACTAGACATGTATAGAATACCAGAAATATATACATTACCAGAAATGTATAAAATACCATAAATTATGAAATGTAGAAATGTATAAAATGTCATAAATGTCACATGCGAGAAATGTATAAAATACCAGAAAAGTATAAAAAAACAAAAACCTAACATGGCAACCCTAATGGGACTTTTTCTTAAAGAAATTTGTTGTTAAATGTTTGTTATACATATTTTTAAAACAAAATTGTTTTACACAATTTGCAGCAAGATGTTGAGCATCTGAAGGACAAGATCACAAATGCTGGTGTTCAAAGAGGCCTTGTGTTGAGGTATACAATATTATTTCACATACAAGTAGTGTTTGTGTGATCATCTCATTGTACCTCCTGATGTGGTTTTAGAAAAATGTTTAGAATGCCTTAAGCACCACGGTGATTAATAAAACTGTTTTTAAGAAACATAAACACACAAATACAAAATCCACAAAATAGAAAGAAATAGTAATAATTTTTCAGCCATGTGATGGTGTAAGGATATCAAAGGAGATATGTCTGCCTGGACCACATACGGACAAGTTTTAAAGACAGGTGAATGGCAAGATAAGATGCCTAAGTAGGACTAAGATATAGGATGTAACCGACTCTTGACTAGAACGTCCTTGAGGTAAAGGTCATATTTGTAGGCCGCTTGGGAAAGTTCAGAGACAATCGTGCTTGTGGCAGGGTCTGCCAGCTTGCACTGCAATCCAGCTGGACCCTTTGGCCAGTGTTGTCCGAGCAGTAGTTTGCTGTAATAGTAAGTGTATGGATGCTTATGGTAACCACCTTGAGTACCTTAGTTTATTGTAGAAGTCAAAGGTAATTGGTTTCAGTTTCTTGATATCTGTGTAAATTTAGTATTGCAGTGTTAATACCCCGATGTCTGTGGCTTAGGAGTTGCGAGTCTCACTCGTAATTCCAACGTACTGCAATCGAAACCCACTGCTGGCTGCGTGGATTGTTATCATGGTATGGGGCGTCGCAGGTCGACCCAGCCTAAAATAGATACCAGGATGAATGTCTTTGGGAAGTATAAACGGCCGGCATAATGCTGACCACATTACCCACCTAGTGCCGATGGTCTACAAAAATATGGGTGCTCTTCCCATATACACAATACGCCTAAAGGTGGAATAAGGGATCTTTACTTATAATGGTAATGCCAGTTTTGTTTTCTTTTGCTAAAGTGTGTATACATTATTTGGCAGACTTTTTATATTCTTTTGCTTTGAGTTAAAATGGTGTTGACAAATTAGTCATTTAAGAATTTTATTTTCTTCTTTAGAAATGAAAAAGCCAACAAAAATTACACAACTGACTTCATTAGCCGACTGTTCGCAGAGGAGGGGTACCCTGTATTTACGACTCGAATGAATGTGCTCGGCCATGTCCAGCAGGGAGGCTACCCGTCACCCTTTGATCGTAACTATGGAACTAAGATGGCTGCGAGAGGAGTAGAATGGCTGTCTGAGATGGTTGAAAAATACTCAACACCACAGGGTTGGTATTCAGTTTCCTGTATCTGTTCAACATCACAGGGTTGGTGTTCAATTTCCCGTATCTGTTCAACATCACAGGGTTGGTGTTCAGTTTCCTGTATCTGTTCAACATCACAGGGTTGGTATTCAGTTTCCTGTATCTGTTCAACATCACAGGGTTGGTATTCAGTTTCCTGTATCTGTTCAACATCACAGGGTTGGTGTTCAATTTCCTGTATCTGTTCAACATCACAGGGTTGGTATTCAGTTTCCTGTATCTGTTCAACATCACAGGGTTGGTATTCAATTTCCTGTATCTGTTCAACATCACAGGGTTGGTGTTCAATTTCCTGTATCTGTTCAACATCACAGGGTTGGTGTTCAATTTCCCGTATCTGTTCAACATCACAGGGTTGGTGTTCAATTTCCTGTATCTGTTCAACATCACAGGGCTGGTATTCAATTTCCTGTATCTGTTCAACATCACAGGGTTGGTATTCAATTTCCCGTATCTGTTCAACATCACAGGGTTGGTATTCAATTTCCTGTATCTGTTCAACATCACAGGGTTGGTATTCAATTTCCTGTATCTGTTCAACATCACAGGGTTGGTATTCAATTTCCTGTATCTGTTCAACATCACAGGGTTGGTGTTCAATTTCCTGTATCTATTCAACATCACAGGGTTGGTATTCAATTTTCTGTATCTGTTCAACATCAAAGGGTTGGTATTCAATTTCCTGTATCTGTTCAACATCACAGGGTTGGTATTCAATTTTCTGTATCTGTTCAACATCAAAGGGTTGGTATTCAATTTCCTGTATCTGTTCAACATCACAGGGTTGGTATTCAATTTCCTGTATCTGTTTATCATCACAGGGTTGGTATTCAATTTCCTGTATCTGTTCATCATCACAGGGTTGGTATTCAATTTCCTGTATCTGTTCAACATCACAGGGCTGGTATTCAATTTCCTGTATCTGTTCAATACCACAGGGTTGGAATTCAATTTCCTGTATCTGTTCAACATCACAGGGTTGGTATTCAATTTCCTGTATCTGTTTAACATCACAGGGTTCGTATTCAATTTCCTGTATCTGTTCAACATCACAGGGTTGGTATTCAATTTCCTGTATCTCTTCAACATCATAGGGTTCGTATTCAATTTCCTGTATCTCTTCAACATCACATGGTTGGTATTCAATTTCCTGTATCTCTTCAACATCACAGGGTTCGTATTCAATTTCCTGTATCTGTTCAATATCATGGGGTTGGTATTCAATTTTCTGTATCTGTTCAACATCAAAGGGTTGGTATTCAATTTCCTGTATCTGTTCAACATCACAGGGTTGGTATTCAATTTCCTGTATCTGTTCATCATCACAGGGTTGGTATTCAATTTCCTGTATCTGATCATCACAGGGTTGGTATTCAATTTCCTGTATCTGTTCAACATCACAGGGCTGGTATTCAATTTCCTGTATCTGTTCAATACCACAGGGTTGGTATTCAATTTCCTGGATCTGTTCAACATCACAGGGTTGGTATTCAATTTCCTGTATCTGTTCAACATCACAGGGTTGGTATTCAATTTCCTGTATCTGTTCAACATCACAGGGTTCGTATTCAATTTCCTGTATCTCTTCAACATCACAGGGTTCGTATTCAATTTCCTGTATCTGTTCAACATCACAGGGTTGGTATTCAATTTCCTGTATCTGTTCATCATCACAGGGTTGGTATTCAATTTCCTGTATCTGTTCAACATCACAGGGTTGGTATTCAAGTTCCTGTATCTGTTCAACATCACAGGGTTGGTATTCAAGTTCCTGTATCTGTTCATCATCACAGGGTTGGTATTCAATTTCCTGTATCTGTTCAACATCACAGGGTTGGTATTCAATTTCCTGTATCTGTTCAACATCACAGGGTTGGTATTCAATTTCCTGTATCTGTTCAACATCACAGGGTTGGTATTCAATTTCCTGTATCTGTTCAACATCACAGGGTTGGTATTCAATTTCCTGTATCTGTTCAACATCACAGGGTTGGTATTCAATTTCCTGTATCTGTTCAACATCACAGGGTTGGTATTCAATTTCCTGTATCTGTTCAACATCACAGGGTTGGTATTCAATTTCCTGTATCTGTTCAACATCACAGGGTTGGTATTCAATTTCCTGTATCTGTTCAACATCACAGGGTTGGTATTCAATTTCCTGTATCTGTTCAACATCACAGGGCTGGTATTCAATTTCCTGTATCTGTTCAACATCACAGGGTTGGTATTCAATTTCCTGTATCTCTTCAACATCACAGGGTTGGTATTCAATTTCCTGTATCTCTTCAACATCACAGGGTTGGTATTCAATTTCCTTATCTGTTAAACATCACATGGTTGGTATTCAATTTCCTGTAACTCTTCAACATTACAGGGTTGGTATTCAATTTCCTGTATCTCTTCAACATCACAGGGTTGGTATTCAATTTCCTTATCTGTTAAACATCACATGGTTGGTATTCAATTTCCTGTAACTCTTCAACATCACATGGTTGGTATTCAATTTCCTGTATCTCTTCAACATCACAGGGTTCGTATTCAATTTCCTGTATCTGTTAAACATCACATGGTTGGTATTCAATTTCCTGTATCTCTTCAACATCACAGGGTTGGTATTCAATTTCGTGTATCTGTTCATCATCACAGGGTTGGTATTCAATTTCCTGTATCTGTTCAACATCACAGGGTTGGTATTCAATTTCCTGTATCTGTTCAACATCACAGGGTTGGTATTCAATTTCCTGTATCTGTTCATCATCACAGGGTTGGTATTCAATTTCCTGTATCTGTTCAACATCACAGGGTTGGTATTCAATTTCCTGTATCTGTTCAACATCACAGGGTTGGTATTCAATTTCCTGTATCTGTTCAACATCACAGGGTTGGTATTCAATTTCCTGTATCTCTTCAACATCACAGGGTTGGTATTCAATTTGTGTACATAATTTAAATTTTAAAAAAATATTTAATAGTTTTTTTCCTGGCACTCTTCAGAATTTATGTGTAATCAAATACAAGAATTTTAACCATTTCACCCCAGGGAAATTAAAACTAATACTAAACTTAACATTTTTATTTCTAATGTCAAATCACTACAGTTGTATGAAGCGGAAGCATGGAGAATAACGCAGGCAATTAATAATAAACTACAAACATTCATGAACTGGTGCCTGTGCAGAACAGAGGGAATTAAATAGTATGATGGAATCAATAAAGTAGAGCTTTGGGAGAGAACTAAACAAGTTCCAGTGGACCAAAAGGTGAAGAAAAGGCGCTGGCAATGAATAGGGCACACGTTAAGAAAAACTGAGAACAATATAACTAGAATGCCTTTGCACTAGAACCCACGAGGGCATGGGACCAATAAAAAAAATAACAAGGAGAAGGGAGCTAGAGACTGGGAGGACATGGGAGAACTGCATGTTATAGCAAAGGACAGAATGAGTTGGTTGAGGGCCTGTGCTTCTTTGGGGGTTAGAAAGGCAGAAGAAGAAGACCACAGTTACCTAAGAAAAAAGCCACAGTAATAGCATACCGTAATTAGAGAATTCCTTAAAAAAGCATTAAAGAAAACATTTGCTTTAGAAAAACCTGTTCTTACACAGGACCACATAGAAATCATCACAAAAATCACAACAGTTCCATTTATCGACCAAAGCAACATTAAATTCCATATAGAACACATGAAGTCATCAGTAAACACATATGCAGCAGAGAATTTAACCAAGTCTCACCACTGTGGATCTAAAAATAAATTGTTATGGCGACCTATTTTGTTTACCCTATGATGAGAAGATGAGGTATTTTAAAAACAAGAGATACATTTAAAAACAAGAAGAGATACATTTAAAAACATAGAAGCTTAAAATTAGAGTGGAAGTCAGTCAAACAATTCATTAAAAAAAACGTATGAAATTGTAAGTGCCAAGTTGACAAAAATACAGCAGAGAACCATGTTAAAGAAACATGATAAGCACAGAGCAAGGAGGAGACCAACCACTGACTGCATTAATATCAACTTTAGAGTAATGAAGCGTCCGTGGCTAAGGCGTTGCGAGTCCGACTCGTAAGCCAGCATACCGCGATCGAAACCCACTGCAGGCTGGGTGGATTTTTGTCGTGGTATGGGATGTCGCAGGTCGACCCAGCCTAAAATGGGTACCAGAATGGGCTGTCCTGGGAAAGTAAAGACAGCCGGCGTAATGCTGACCACATTACCCACCGAGTGCTGATGGTCTGTAAAAATATGGGATGCTCTGCCTAAATGCCCGATGCGCCAAAAGGCCTGAAAAGGGATCTTTACTTACTTTTTTGTGTGTGGAGAAATTAAGGACCAACTTACACACACATTAGAAAAAGCACACATAAGATCATTGTTTATCATGCTGTCAGAAGCAGAATCCAGTTGTTGTGAATGCAGAGATCCACATGCTTATATGTGAAAATTCAGATAAGCCGGATGTACTGACCTACACAGATGGGTCTGTTGTACAAGTACATGGGCATTTACTGCGTGCTCTGCAAGCAGAACAGTCCAGGAGGCCAGTTGTGCCATCTGTATGACTACTAGCAGCATGACAATGGAGGTGATGGCGGTAACACATGCTTTCGTTGTGGCTAGCATTGCAGGGCTATTCTCATGTGTGTGTGCTGAGTGATTACATGAGTATAATCTGGCGAGTTGAGGTGGGATTTGTATGCAGAGGGGATCTCGTCATTGCAAAACTCCACTATGCGTAGTTACCTTCATCTTGGTCCCAGGGCATGCAGCTGTTGTTGGCAATGAAAGAGTCGACAGATTAGCCGGCTCTGCTTTAGTTCCAGAGGTCCGGCCCATGGATCATGCTGACATTGTTAATGTCATTAGAGAGGTAGGACATTTGGAGAATTTTTGAGCAGCACATCCAAATCTTTGCTAAGATTGCAAGAATTGGGAGTAAAGATCGGCACAGCCAGGCACACAGGATGCATGAGAATTCCTGCAACCAACATAGGACTGGGACCGTCAGTCACGGGACGCTAATGTATATGTTGAAGGGGGAATGTGATCACCTATGGATGTGTCCAGAGTGCTGTGAAGATAACCCAGATCATAACTCAGAAGATCATTACTTCAGCCTCAGTACTTTACTGAAATAACTGGAGACAAAGATGAAACAATCATTTCTGACATTATTATAAAGTCTGTGGCTTGGGGGTTGTGAAAGTGCTTCGTAATTCTGAGGTACCCAGGTGTATGCAGCGTCCGTGGCTAAGGCGTTGCGAGTCCGACTCGTAATCCAACGTACCGCGATTAAAACCCACTGCTGGCTGCGTGGATTTTTATCATGGTATGGGGCGTTGCAGGTCGACCCAGCCTCAAATGGGTACCAGGATGGGCTGTCCTGGGAAAGTAAAGACAGCCGGCGTAATGCTGACCACATTACCCACAGAGTGCTGATGGTCTGTAGAAATATGGGCGCTCTTCCCATATGCCCGATGCGCCTATTGGCGTAAAAAGGGATCTTTACTTACTTTTTTTACTTACCTATGAGTATTCCAGCTACTGGCAATTTGACAGCAGACTGCTATGCATTGATTTAGACAGAGGGATTGAGAACAGACTGTTAAGAAAGCAATGCCAAGCTATTGATTGTAAAATTGCCTAGTAAATGCCACACACGAAAACCAGCCTTAAAATGCTGGAGTTGATTCTCCGCTGTCCTGTGAAGGATATGCAACTAACTATTTGTTTCTAGCATTATTATAATGTTTTGTGTCTTTTCTGAGTCTGGTAATGTTTATGTATAAATAACATGTTACATTTTGTTTAATTTTTGACCAGGTCCAGTCAGAACTGGCAATGCGGACACCGTTGTCCTGCTTGGAATGTTGAAGAGACATTTAAACTTCACCCCTGTGCAGGAACTAGCAGACGGCACCGACTTTAAGTGAGTTATTATCCATTAACTGTATCTGTCCCAGGGGTTTTGGTTTGTGATACTCAGGAGCGTAAATTAGAGTTATGATTTATGAGTGCACTAGTTACAGATTTAAAAAATAACAAGAAAGACAAAAATTTAGTAAACCCTCGATTTAAGTATTATCATTTGTATTTTACTTTATTTTTTTTTTATTTTGTAATGTTAAAACTTTTTTCTTTTTAACCTATTTTTCCCATCTTTCTATTTTGTCTTTCATTATTATTATTATTATTAATTTTGTTTTTGATTCCTTAGTTGGTTTGTTTCTTGTCCAGCAGATCTTCTTATTTCTACTGTTAACATTTCAGTTCTAGTTCTTTCTCTGTGTGAACTGCCTCGTTTTGGACTGTAACTTAATATTCTTCTACTTCTTTTATTTATGTAGGTTCAGGGGCACCATTTTAGAGAATTGGGTAAGGGGGTGGGAAGGTTGACCCACTAGCACCTAACAATCATGTTTTAAAATTAGGGGTGTTTCCTTGAAAGTTAGAACTCATCTGCCTGAGAGGTAAGGAACCAACAGTCTGTTAACCAAAAAGCTGAATCTGTAAAATAGATATGCACCCACAACTCAAGCACAATACAAGGCCACAGTCCATAAGTAGATCAGCAACCATAGTTTTCCTCTGGTGTTTACCGGTGGTGAATGCTAAGAAGACTTATCAAATTGTTCAGTTTATCTGCACATTGTTCCTCCCCCCCCCCCCCCCACCTCAGTAAGCTTCTGAATAATAGTTTGTGTTTGAGAATAATATAAAACTAGAATGTCTTTGCACCTGAACCCACAGAGGCATAAAAATAAAAGCAGCCCGAAGACACTTGGAGAAGAGAGCTAAGAGTGAAGTTAAAAAGATGGGGGAGGACATGAGGTGAGGAGCATGCAATAGCAAAGGATAGGACAGCCTGGCATGAGTTGGGTGAGGGCCTGAGCTCCATTGGAGGGTTAGAAACCAGAAGAAGAAGAAGAATTCATTCTTGATATCAGTGCAATTGCAGTCAGCCACCATTTTCAGCATGATACTGATAGTAGCATATTACACATTCTGAGCCAGAAAGGGGTTAATGTATATTTTTTCAATACAGTAAAAAAGTACCTTTTTTGTTCTTCTTTAACTTCAGTATTCCGAGACCTTGAGGTTTATTTCTGCATGTATCACCTGCCTGATTCTATCTGTGTGATTGGCCTTCTCTTTACAGTTGGTGACTAGAAGTGTCTGCCTGTATATTTCTCTCCATTGTCTTCTTGGTTTGACCCATTCAGTATTTTGTGTCCACTTTTTTTGTCTCTTTGTTATCTGCCATTCTCTCTAGATGACTCGGCTGTTTCAGCCTTTTCTTCTTCTGCATTCATCCAAAAATGTAATTGTGTTGTGTCTGTTTACAGCATGGCTGCGATATTTGCACATTGTGGCCAAACACATCCAACTTCTGCAGACATTTGTTGACCGGGTTAGACTTTCCCGTTGGTTCAGTCTTTTAACGCTCATGATGCCAATAATTGGCGTTGATTTAAAAAAATCACAAAATAAAATTTTTTTTAAGTTGCTTCTTGATATCCATTCTTCACTGTTTGCACCTTTGATAGGTCCCAAAGATCAAAAGACTGTTCTCAGAAATGTGTAGTAAGCCACTGTCTCTTTCAGTTGCACTCCAGGTATCAGTGCTTGTTTTTGTAATGCTATGGTTTTCAATCCTTTTCAGGTGTCAGCCAACCCACCTGAATATTTGACAAGACCTCCATGTCTCCCCCTCCCCCTTTAAACCTAATCTATAATTAAATGCTTGTGATATTCTGTTATCAAATTTTTAATGGCAGATTTACAGAACTGCTCATGAAAACATTAATGTCCTTGGCTTTTGATCAATAAATATTTTTTAAAAATATTTTATTTATAATTAAACTTAAAACCAAATGTTAGTAACATATTACAAGTACAAATGCACTCACTTTCAACACTGCTTGACGCACCCTTTGAAACTTCCTTGCACCACCTCCCCAAGTTTGAAACGACTGTTCAGATGTCTTTATTTGCTGTTGTCTGTCTACAGCAAGCGTATTCCCAAAGAGCAGTGGTGGCTGAAGCTCCGGCCCTTGCTGAGAATCTTGGCCAAGCACTCAGTGCTCGGTTACGAGACAGAAGCTGAGATGGTTGACATCGATGAGGACGAGGACGAGGAAGGAGAACACATTCTTTAACTGCAGTTTCTGTGGATTTTGTCGGATACAGTCGGGTAGAATCTAGATGTCTTACAGTGTATTAGAAATGAAATGATTGAAATCTTGTCATGTTAGTTGGATTCCTGCCTTTTTTATAGATATGTATTTATGTGTATATATATTGTTTTCTTAATAATATTAACACACACACACACACACATGCACGCACGCACGCACGCACACGAGATATATATATATATAAGAATATTACATTTTTCCTTTTGTTTTTTTTTAGGTATGACACACATTATTTACACTGGAGCTGTAGAATGTTTTTATACTTTTTAGGTTTAATTATTGCTTGTTTAGCTGACTGGTTGGTAAGTCTTCTAGAAGATCAAATTGTCACTCTTGTTAGTTGATGCAGCAGCACACATAACGTTTGAGTCTTGAAAATGGCTTGCAACTGAGTGAAGTTGATGTAGAGTGTCTCCTCTTGAACCGGTATCATCTCCACCAGCATGATGTTGCAGAGCTCTGCTTCATTTCTGCCGGCCATAATTTAGCACCACACTATTCACAGACTGGCCTAAAAATAGCCAAGATCGATAATGCTTTCTCCATAGATTACTTCTTCTTCATTGTGCACCAGTTGTAAACTCTGGAGGAAAGTTTTGGTTATTCGTAAACTTGTGGACTTGAGTCTGGTTCCAGTACTTGCATTTTGCATGCACATCCATTTTACAGATCCGTCTTATTTTTACACAGACTATTTGTTCCTTACCTCTTAGACAATTGTACTCCAACTGCAATTTTTAAAAGAAATTAATTTAAAGCACCATAATGATTGCATAATAGATGCTGTTTATTATTGTGCACTTTACTGGAGCACAGTGATTTGTACCACATTCATTTGTGAAAACAAATGCACATTCATTAACCCACAGATTTGTACAAACTACTACTCCACATATAGATACTCGATGGCAAATTTTATTTTGGCTGTGATAAACTTTATTTTGATTTCATGTTCAAGTTTTCACAAGTAGTGTTTATTGTAACATTTTATAATTATAAACCTTCTATTGAATTCAGAACAAAGTGTAAAAATTAATAAGTAGGTTGTGTATTGTTTTATTGTACTTGCTTAATATGTAGATACTTTACATAATTGGAAAAACGGGCATATAGGGTATCTAGAGAAATTATGTCTATTGTCTGTGTTCATTTTTTAGCTGTTTGTTTCCTTTTGCTGTGATACTCACTTAAAGGTCAAATTAATTGTGTCTCCTCTTAAGGATTTTGCAAACCAACTGCATAATTTGCCTTTTGTGTTTTTTTACTGGGCAGTTTTACTTTAAGACATTCACCATTGCTTTCCAAACAGTAACTGGCTCATACTATTTTCGAATCAACATATAACAGTCTGTTACCATGTCACCTGCTGCTTACCTAGAACTTTAGTATGTCAGGAGTATGAAACTGTATTCACAACCCTGAAGCCACAGATGCCAGCTTGTAGATACTGTTTATAAATCTCATCTTTATAATAATATTTACATGTCTGAGTTGTTTATAAATCTTATCATTAATAAAATATAACATAAATTTCTGAACAGCTTTTCTTTGTTCATATGTAACGTATATAGATAAATTGTTTATAAGTCCTGTATTTGCTATTATATAGTTGGCTGTATAAAAACTGTCTGTTAAACAAAATAATTAGAAAAGGGGTTTATACATACAATTTGTCCATCTGGAAACATTTTGAAGAAACATTTATTTTAAAGAATTGTTTTTTAACACTTGTCTTGAAAATTTTTTTTTTATACACATGCATACACACACATATGCACATGTGTTTGAGCACACACACTGTTGTGCCTACACATACAGGTGGAGAGGGGGAAGGGAGAGAGATGTGTAAACATGAATTAGATAGTGTAAACCATGTGGCAAAGGAAATTACATTGCTGGAATATTTAATCATTGGCATCAAAGTTAAGAGAATGATAAAGAACAAAAAAATACAACCAGTAGTAGCTATACAACTGACAAACCTTATGACATGTAAATCTAACAGGTAATTTTGCCATAAGTTTGAAATAGGTGATAATCTAAAAATTAAGTAAATTGTAAAGGTCCCTTTTCTATACTTTAGGTGTATAGGGCATATAAGGCTAAACCTAAATTTTTATAGACCAGTCAGCACAAGATGGGTGGTGTGGTCAGCATCTTCCCTGGACTGCACTTTTTACCCACTCAAGGCTGGGTCGTCCAGAGGGAGTCAAGGTCATTTTTGAAAAAAGTCTGGCTCCGCTAGGGAGCGAATCCACCACCTTCTGATCCGCACGCGAGCGTCTAGCCGCTATGCCACGGTGACCCCCGTGATAATCTAGAGTATTAATTCATCTTCAACATTTTTTTTTACTTTTGCTTATTAAGTCTTTTGATAGCAGCTAGTTGTTAAATAAACTCTTCTTATCTTGAAATATTTTAATTAGCAGCTAAGTCCATACAAGTTTATATAATAACACAGTGGGACAGAAGAAAGTAGACTGGGAGTACAGATCATCATCCTGTAGCTGGTCCTTTGTAGAATGTTGATTTCATCACGGTCTGCCTGCAAGAAACTTGGTCTCTCACCAGCTTTTCCGCCTCATGCACTTTCCTATCCAAGATATCACTTATATCCTGTACCCGTCTCCATGCTGATCGGCCCTGCTCCTCTTTCCTGGTACCATGCCCTCTGCCATTATTTTTTTAAATCCTCCATGGTGCATGATGATTTTGCAAAAATATTTAAGTTTCCAAGACAAGATGCTGTTTACTGGCTGATCTTCCTTGATGTTTAGATTTTTTAGGATGTCACTATTTTTTTTTATTTCCAAGGTATTCTGAGAATCTTTCATTTCGGCTCAGAAACACTTTTTTTTCCTTAAGGACTAAGAATGCAGATTCAGTGAAGTATACAGTGGGTCATAGAAGAAAGTAACAAAGTATTATGTGTTAGGACTAACCAGTGAACACATGGTGAGTTGCAAAGTATAGACGGAGTTGATAATTTTATTTTATAAGTTCTTCAGTTAGTGTGACTTTTACATTTCCCCCCAAATTCATTAACATATAGATGTAATTGTGTATTTATGTGAAGCCAGTTTAAGTTGTCTTGTTTGCATGTTTTTTGTGGGTTTTTAAAACTTTATGTAGTAAATGTTATGTATGCATATAGTGACTAACTAATATTTTTAATATGTGGACTTTAATTTTGTGACTAATATTTCTAATATGTGGACTTTATTTTTTAAATACCATATTTGTCGCTATATAGGATGCTCCCTTGTATAAGAAGCTCCCCACAAATTGAAAGGTATTTTCCAGAAAAATGTCATATTCAATATAAGTCTGTAATTCTGGCCATTTTGTCCTTTTTCCAAGCTCTGCACAGCTTCCTTTGTTCATTTTGCACATATGGTCCTGCTGAGACCACCAAAGTTTTGTCTGTTGAAGGTCCGAAAGGATGTTCTGCTGACCTATTGTTGTGTTCTTCAGCATGTTTTATCGCCTGGAGTTTAAAACTCATGGTACAAGATTACCACTTACTATCCTTTTCCTAATTGCTATGAAAATAATGGTTTGTGTAGGCCTACCTTCCTTGTATAAGAAGCGGTCTCATTTTAAGGCTTATTTTAGGAATACACACTGACAAATGTGATATTTTTTACTTTTATATATCTGCATTTTGTATATCAGCAAATATTTCTATTCTGAAGAGAGGTGGGGGAGGAGGAGCCAGGAGAGACATTGTGGGACGGTTTTACATAATGGCAATAAAGAGCATCTGTATACAAAATAAAAATAAAAAATAAAAAAAAATAATTGAAAGCGCACGACAGGAGGCTGGTGAGACACTTGATTATTAATGCCTGTGACGGGCTGATGCATTGTGACGAGCGGATGCTTGGACCTACAGTGTGACGTGCTGTAAAGGCTGCGTGGCATTGTGACGGGCGTACAAACGGTGACTAGGGGCATCGCAATGTAACAAATGGCATCAACACTTAACATGCCACTGGCCAAGAGTAACACAACATGATGAATGTTGAAGCTCCCAAACGTAGTGGAATGAGAACTCTTTTTAAAAGTTCCATTTGTGTATTGACAATAACGATAATCAACACAAGGAGAAAATGTGCAATTACTAATCAATACTCATTCAAGCATATCAACAAAAGCCCGCTCGTACATCCATGGACTGATATGTCCTCACGATAGGTCGCAGTCCGACCTTGAGATCCAGACAGTAATCTTTGTCTTCAGTTCTGCCGTCTGAATTAAGTAATGAAGGTATACCGGCTTACTGCCGAACTGTGTCAATATACCAGCTTTCTGCTGAGGTCTATATTGGATTCCCGGGGTAAAACGTCCTCAAGGATCCAACTGTATACAACGTTTGCTTCCGTGGGATCCCGGGGTAAAGCGTCCTCAAGGATCCACACGTCCGTCTCCTTCGGACTGTAAACATCAACTGCCTTTGACAACAATACCTTCACAACGTTACGTATTGTTTTGACGTCTTATTTGCTCACTCAGTACCGGTGGGTTCTAGTGCACATTTGCACGCGACAGCTTCTCCCCCCCCCCCCCTCCCCTCCCCTCCCGGGGACGACCGAGCACTAGGACTTGTCGTAGTCTCGGTCGGAAAACTGAAGTCATGTCGCGGCAAACAGCACCAATACGAGAGAGCAAATAAGAACACTTGAATACACAAACACTCACTTCTCAATATATCATAAATACATTACTAAATGAATGCAAAATATAGATTCCTGACTTCACTAAGCATTATTATCAACATCATTATTGTTATCCAAATTATTTTACATAACAACATGAATTTTAAATATTATGTAAATTCACAAGCAAACATTAATCCCATTCCAATGCATCTGGTGTGTGCGACAAAAAATCGGCCAAGACATTTTCTTTCCCTGGGCGATAAATAACTGTGAAGTTGAACATCTGTAAAAACATTGTCC